CAATTACTTCTACAACATTTGAAAACTTGATAAGGTAAAAGAAAATTACATACGTTTTCAAATAACTATATCAACAGAAGCAAAACATGTTTAATTTAAGAATCTTACAAATAATAGTATTGTAACTGTAATATAATAATGAAATGCAATAACATGACATAATGGATACACTTCTGTTTTTCCTATATGACACTCTATCATAACATGCTAATTCCAAAAAAATATAAATACTTTCAATATGTTTATAATATTATAGTATAATTATAAACCTTGCATACTGCATAACAAATACAGTAGAAAGCAATAAAAATACATATGAAGGAGAACAAGGAGAATCGAAAGATAAAGCTCAATGCTTTTCCGGTGTTAATGAAATCGTCCCCCAAGAAGCGGGAACATCTTAATCCTAAATACACGTTAAAATGCAATTCGAAACGGAACGATCTAGATGCAAGCTGGCTCAAAGCTCGTAAATACTCCGGAATGGAAACATTAATGTAATTTGATCTCGAGATAATTTTCCTTAGAGCCAGGTAAGGTCCTATTGTTCGGCATTGTCCGTATAAAACATGTCTCACGCGTGTCGAGCCTCATGAATGCATCCAACAACAATAATAGCAACGCTCTCCCGCTGGGTGGGATAGCGAGTGCACTTAGAATCGCAGCGGTCGTACTTGTTGATGTTTTAACAACCCCACGTGCGAAAACGGAATGTAGACGGCAATACTTTTAACCCCACCGATATCATCGACGTTCCTCCTGAAAAGGAGTACTTTTCAAACGAGTCTGCTTCCTAAAGCATCCTTCCATCTTTTCAACCAAAAACTAATTGCGCGTGTAACTCTTTATGGTAAATCGGTTCAGATACATTTTTTCAAACTACATGTACGGCTCTACACTTTTTATCGTGAATTATGATCATGAACTTATCGTTAAATAAACGAAAGACTTCATGTTTGATGGTATTTTTACTGGCAGGTGTAGAACTTTCAAATTGGAAAAATTCGACGAATTCTTTTAGTGATGTTAGTTTTCTACTATTGTCTACTTCCCTGTGTTTATACATCACATATAAAACTCTGTCAAGAAGTTTTTATTTTTAATTGTTCTACTTGCGTTAAAGTGGATGTGAGTCTTTCGAGTGCAAAGGGTCGTCTTCTCATTCTGTAGTTGTACAAATGATTTTCAACCCCGTACGTATTTGCCTGGTCAGCACTATCCACTGGTACAATATTAAAACAAATAACGAAAGTTGATACGTGTCATATTAAGTGATCCTGAACTACACAAATTGTAATTGGTCTCAAACTCCAAGCTGAAGCGTACAAGCAAGACTTATCACGAGTCACTCATCAAAGTAAAAGGTGGTATCAACAGAGAATGAAATATATAAGCAACGAAGATGGAACTGTTCGCCCAGAAACACCCTGTATACCTACTTTTATCCGCTCAATTAGTCTTAGGAGAGGTGCAGGTCGAAAGAAAGCACCTTCTCGCGATAATTACCGCTAGCACATTTCGTGGCTCGAGTGGGTCGGGCAATTTTGAATTCGTGGCCCGGAGGTTTCGTGGCGAGCTGCATTTTCGAAAGAGCAAGAGAGAGAGCATCGGCATCGAACAGCAAAGCGAGTCGCAATGCACGCACAGCCTTATACGGACGCGAGAAAGCGAACTCTCTCGGTCTGCTCTTTTCCCCTTCCTCCTTAGCCGTTAACCCGACCGATCCGGACCGTGGAACCCAGTCCTGGACATCAAACAGGACCAGATATGCTACGTTGCACCGCCAAACTGGTGTACGTGCGACCACGTTCCGTTGTCTGGACCAGGTGCAATCGACAGGTCGCTGCTGCCGTTGCATTACGTTGCGACCGCAAGATACCTTCATTTATCGATTTTACCCAACGATCGAATATTTATCCCCCTACGTACGAATTAGGGGACCCGTCAATTTTTTTTTCTCGTCATTTCGACGTTTATCCTTTCGTACCTGCTCTGCATACATTTTAAATACGCTCTTTCTGTGGAACTCGTTTTCCATTTTTAACCACGGCTTATTTATTATTCTCTGTCACCTTTTGGGAATTTGAATGATGCAAGTAGAGAGTTTGAGAATTCGCAGATGAACGATATATTTGCGGAAATTTGGTAAATTAAAAAATTTAGAAAGTTGAGAAATTTAAAAATGTAAGGATTGACCTGAATGTTTGAGAATTCGAAATTTTATAAAAATAAAAGAGTTGGGATATATACAATTTATTTGATATAGTATACAACATATGTTATTGCGTTGTACGCTATATTTTACATTTTATATTGTGATAAATAAAAGATTATAAACTATATTGCAGGTCATGTAGATTGTATGAGAATTATATGAGGGTGAAGTCAAAAACCGAGAAGCAAGACAATATTATTAAATTTTGCGTGTGTACTTACGGCACTACTCTTGATTTTCAAACAATCGAATATTAATTAATTTTACGATACTTTTCTGAATAAATAATTTGCTTATCTTCCAACGATGTAATAATTTCGAACGAATGTAATTTGAAAGTAAGCTAACAACAGGTACCGTTTCAGAATATTAATTATGTATTAATACGTAACTATTCAAAAGGAATATCGTTGCAGCGTCATAAATAGCTATCGTAATACGAAACATTTGTATTCCAGTCCCCGCAGCAACGCTTATTATTCAATAGCCGATATGTATTTCTTGTTATCTTCCACGGAAAAAATTCCCCAACACTCGCCATTATTCCTATTCAATTTGAAAACTTTGTGAAAGAGTGTACACGCGACTTTCAAGTTCCTTCGTGCCGACATTTCTTATTCCAACGCGGTTCTCTCTTCACCGTTTCTTCGATTCGTACTTACGAATTTAACTTTACCTCAGCCACGCACGTTTACGGGGGATCGTTCGATGAAATTCAAGCAGAAAAGACCCGTGCCATTTTTACGTCATATAAGAGAACGAATCGAACATCAGAGGAGAAAAGACGGGTAACGGGGAAGAGGATGGAGAACGAGGAATGGGTCGAGGCGAAAGAAAGAAAGGTAAAAACGACGAGAGGGATGAAAAAAGTAAAAACTTCGAAAGCTGCAAAGCGAGCTGAACGTGTCTGGAAAGAAGACAAAATAGAAGAGAGAAAGTAGGGAGCCCGGGGCAGAAAGAGAAATAGGAAGAAAAGGGCAGAAAAACCACCACCGATGTTACCTTCCGATGTCTAGAGGGTGTTGCCTTTCCAACGGAAATTGTCTACAAGGTTTCACGGATTTTTCCTAACAAAGTACCGGTAAATACAAGTTATGCTCTAGACGAAAATAAAAAAAATGGATTATCTTGTTTTGGCCACCCCTTTATCAACATAATGGGGTCACTATGGGGGCAACTTAATGGGCTGCATTCAAACCTATATTTTATTAATAATTTTGCACAATGCAAGCTTTAAATGAAAATCTGCTGAAAGCTATTATTTATTTTAATATTTCATATTATATCTCCGTCATTTTTATTCTTTAGTTAAGGAGAAACATTTTTTTCATATATCTTCATACAATTGTGATAAACGGATTTATCGGATTTAAATTTTAAATAAGTAATAATTAACCACAAATGTTTTACTCTCGATATTTTTCATAAAGCTAATGTTTCAATGTAAAAATAAAAAATAAAAAGTATATCTCATAAAGATAGAAGTGTATCGCGAAAATAAAATCGTAATATAAGAAACGAGTTTAATGAAAGAAGCGGTGCACCACTTAATGTTTGATATTGTATCGCGCACAATTGTCGATCAAAAGTGTTTGAACGAAGAGAGAAGTCTTGGTGAATACATATCTTTAAAGGAGGGAAGCTCCAACGGGGACAAGTTCGGTAATTCACGAACCATAGTACTTATCGAGAGTCGTGATCAAATGCTGTCCCCATGGAAAACAGACACAACGGGAAAAGATAAAATGGGTAAACTGCTAAGGGAAGTAAAGAACGAGAGGGAGAACGAGCGTTCCAGTTGGCACGTAAAAATAGTAACCTCGGCTTGGTTTTGCCAATTTAAGAAACTGTTTCGCTCAATCCCATTTCTGGAGTTCTCAACGAGGCTACGAAATGCCCTGTTCAGACGATCCGTCGTTACTACGCTCTTTCCTTTACTTCCAATCGAAAGGATCAAGTCATTTAAGCCAACTTCCTGCTTACGGCTCTCCTTCTTAATTGATAGCCGTTATTTTTCACGGCGTTATGTATCCAATTTGAAAGGAAATGAATTAAAGATGAACCGTGGATGAACGTCTTTTTATACGCTGCTGGTCAACATTATAAGCTAGTTTCACTTTTAGCTGGTACTCTTACGAATAATGCTATTACTGTTTTTAATTCTTCAACTGTTAAATATTTGTTTAGTCTCTTCATAAATATGATTCTTAGCTAAATTAGTTTGTTAAAATTTTTGAAATGAATTTCTAATTTTGACTACCTATAACACAGGCTATATAAAGCACCTTTCCCGGTCACTATTTGCATATTTCTATAAAATAAATCTAACCTAAAGCACCGTAAAGGTCTTAACCACCATTCAGGACGCTGATGTTAATATTAAAAAATAATCGATACACTGTAATACTAACCTTCCCTAACATTTGTTCTCGGTTGCAGCGCTTAAACCCTTTCCTTCCTATTGTAACCATATGGCTACATATGGTGTAATCTATTTCGTATAATCATTTTAACATGTATAATCCACATCATTCTGGCAACATTTAAAAGGAAATTTTTTGAGCAAAGAAAAAAGATATTTTTGCGAATCATTAGTATGATAAAAATAGAACAATGATTAAATAATTTGAGAACGAAAGAGTTTGCAGTCAGTATTGAAATTTGACTCGATATGCTACAAAGATGCATATTCTGCGTTACAGAATATTTTGTACTCGCCACAAATATACTGTTTTCGCTGTTTGAAAATTTAAAACGCATTGCTCATGATGAAGAAATAAATTACCTCTTAATGCGTCCGCCGTCGTTGCCAGAAGACCTTGCAAACTTCTGCTATGATGATGGATCAAGTCGTGAAAATCTGCTCTGGCCTGATGTCTTAATTGTTCCTCGGTCTCCCGGTTACAGCACAAACCGGCACAAGTTGCTGAAACAAATTTCGATTTTCACATTATCCATTGTACAGAAAAATGCCTACAACGGAAGTAGGTTAATGTACCGATGTTCTGCAAAAATTCTTACGACGGGTATCTGCTAACTTTCAGTAGCGGCTGATGGTTTAAATCGATTATAGTTTTAGAAATTCTTCGACATTCAAGCTTCTACGATAATTAGCTGGTACATAGCAGCATTGATAAATTTTTAAAAATTCGATCTAAGTTTCATATTGAATTTTGTCATTTCTCAATTACAATTTCCTCGTTGATATATTTTTGTATTTATTTTCAAAATATTTTTCTGCGTAATTGAACATTGGAGCACAAGAAATTGTAAATAGTACGCTTCTTATTATTTTATCATTTCCTTATTAATAGTATTTATCGTTATATAAACAATTGTGTATGTACACGATATCGAGCTGCAATTTAAAGTATAAAATGTATCTCGATATCTGTTTATTATTACTCCTTCGTATATCTAATTATTGAAACCCGCTCATATGTGATCAAATTAAAATTTCAACTTTCTTTATCTGTTTGAATATACAAATCTATTTGTACCTGTGATTAGTGACAAATAAATGCAAGGTTTAAAAGCGTTGATATGCATTTATTTCTTAAACGCATTTGAGAAAAGAAACATTTATTGGTGCTTTGTTTTTCACACATCGGGTCATCAGTTGTATCGCGCAAATCTGCTCGCAATGTTTGCAAGCAAACAACTGTTCTTGCAGCGAGTGCAATATGTCATGCGAAATAGGGTGCGCACATGTTTGCAGTAAAGACGATGGGTGGCGGAAGGAAAGAAGTGGATGCGAAGTGGAACGAGGCTAAAAGGACCTATTGAAACGAGCCAGGACCTCTTGAGGATCCCGTTAGTCTCGTTCTATTTGTCCGTCCATGACCCTTGCGAGATAGATACATACGAGTCTATCGTACTTTATCGAGCAATCGTCATTCTACTGTAATTGCACGAGGCAAACGGACGCTGAATGTCCTCTTCGCGTTTTCGTGTCATGGTAAATTGGGTCATTCAAAAGGATGTCGAACGATCATTCGAATTATTTTCCATCGGTTGATATTTTATGACGCACGATTTAAGTGCTTTATTTACCCTTGATCTCTTTTGAAATTTTTAAACTTTCCGAATGAGCAAATCTATAGCTGTTTTTATAAACGTTACAAATTTATATATCGAATAGAAATCCAGATATCCAAATCTCCCACTTCTCAAATTCCCAAATCTACAAAAGCACCTCTCCTAAATTAATTTCCAATAATATAAAACTCACTCAAATGCAAATTCAAAGAAAATTAGCACGAGTCTACTATTTGTCCAAGCTGACGAATCGTTTGCACATGAAACGAATACGACAAAAGTTGCAAAAGCATCGGTAATCGCTCGAAAAATTGGACAATAAGCCGTAAATGATGAGGCATGAAAAATGGTCGTAGGAAAAAGGAAGGTTTTTCTTGGTACCTGACCAACGTGCGTGTGTGGCGTTAGCCAGGTCGGTCAAGACACTCCTAATGGCACATACAAAAGGATCGGAGAAATACGAAAGAATACGAGAATAGAGAGAGAAGAAGACAAAAAGGAAGGACACCCGGGATGGTAAAGTCTCTCGTGACAGGAAACTTTACGATTCGTGGCCGGTTTTATGGAACGCTTCACAGCTTTAAGAAGTTATGTCTACCTGCAAGGTCGGAAAAAATGTACATCCACTTTTTGAGCTCGAAAACTTTTTTAACGTTTCAGTATTCGAAAGTGTAGGTTCAAATTCATATACTATAATAAACGCAACTGTGTTAGGTTAATAGGTGTGTTGTTTTCTATACAGTTAACTCCTTGCTGTACAATTTATTTGTCAGATGCGTCAATCAAAACTACTCATAGCTATAACATTAAAATAAACAAAGAAAATTAAAATGTAATGAATATTTTATATTCAGCAGTCCTTGAGTTATTAATTATAGTTGGACCTAAATTTCGAGTTGAAGTGTACTAAAAATTTGAGTAAGGTTTGTCACATTTGAACTGTGAGTGCGTCACGATTGAGACTCGTCAAAGTATGGCAAGGGATTAATTCAGTAACAGTTCCAAATATTGATGAATTTCAATAATATTTGAAATTCCAGTGGGTCAAGAGTGCAATAATATATTGTCTAAAATTATTTGGAGTAATAATCGATTGATAATATATATAACTAATTCTTATTAATTATTCAAAAAATTGATACATGAAAAATTCGACATCTAAGAATGAGAGTTTTTAAAAAAAGGTTGTCTTATGTGATCAAATGAACTATGATTTCATATAAAAGAGAGAACACGAAGATTGTGTCGGTATTTATATTGAAGTGATTAATAAGCACGTAATTATCAAATGAAAAGATTATCCCGAGTCACATCGAGTTCTAGAAAAAATGTCTGTTGACTAACACGCAGCATTTTTAATGAAACGTAGAAGTTACTGTTTGCAGACTTTACACTAATGTTATCTACCGATTTTGATATCGTAGTTTATAAATGTCTCGTGCGCAGAGAATCCGCAGGCGGAATTGTATACAGTTTAATACTTGTTCCCATCGCGTAACGTAACTATAAAAAGAAGATAAAGACTTCCCGATATCGTATAAACTTTCATAAAAATAACGCAATTAGAAGCGTACAAAGAGAGGAGCAACGCGACAAATTACATTTCGTAGCGGGAATACAAATTTACCAGTGATAACGAAGTTTCTGCAACCATTTTGATAACACCGTCGAAACGTTATTTCATCGTTATAATTAAATGATGTTACAAACCGATACACTTTTGTATGGTGCAGAATTTTTACGAGCGTTTTACATACAAATTACTCGATGGTTACGTATCAAATGATGGATTTCAAAACGTAGAAAGTCTAACGTGATTTGAAGACGTGAAAGTATAATCAACTAACGATTATGATATATCAATTTGTAACTTGTTCTGTTACCACCAAATAAATCAGATATAGTTAATCAATTGTTAATACTAGTTGTATAACTCTTTTGTTAAAATAAACCAGTGATCTATTTAAAACTAAGATTTCAATTATCGATAACGGTTAACCAAAAAGAATCAAATCATTCATATCTCAACTATTATTTTGTAAATGTGTTGTAACGTATGCGTCGGTAATTAACTCGTAATCTTGTACATCTGAAAACTGCAATCTATCCGAAAAAAGATACATGTTCCAATTACTGAGGACCTCACCTGAACGGTGTTTTAATTAAACGATCCGTGATTAAAAAGAAATACAGAATGGACGAAATAACGGATCTAATCGTAAGCGGTTTGCAAGTAGCAGTTTAGATGACCACGATGAGATAAACAGACATATATCGAAACCCTTAATGCCGCGAGAACTAGAATCCTCGTACCTGTGCGACGAGTTTCTATCCTGAATCATTCGGAACGGTAGAGGCGCCACGAATAAAGATACAAAAAGAAAGACGACGAAGGATAAAAGGAACCGACAGTGAGAATGTTTTAAACGGTTTACGATGCACCCAAGGGTGGCGAGACTCATAGCGAGACTACGAAACAGTTTCGTTCTCACGGCAAATACCTCAGCTATTTTTTTTATTCATTCTCTTCCGAGTATAATGTATATATGGGAGTTACGTACAGATTAAGTGTTCACCGAAAGAAAATTGTCACGTTCAAACTGGCAAATTTTGGAATTTGGAAATTTAAGAGATTGGCAATTTCAAAATTCAAGAATTTCATAACTCAGAAATTTGGGGATTTTGGAATCTGAGGATTTGGAAATCTAGGGACTTGAGAATCTAGGGATTTGGGAAGCTGAGAGATTCAGGAGTCTGGGGAATTCGGGATCTGGGCACTTGAGGGATCGGGGGACTTGGGGATCTAGGGAATTTGGTGAACTAGGTGATTTGGTGATCTAGAGAATTTGGAGATCTGGGGAATTTGGAGATTTGGGGAATTTGGTGATCTAGGGGATTTGGTGGTCTAGGGGATTTGGAGATCTGGGAAATTTTGTGCTCTATGGGATTTGGTGATCTAGGGAATTTGTAGATCTGGGGAATTTTGTGATCTAGGGGATTTGGTGATCTAAGGAATGTTGAGATCTAGAGAATTTTGTGATCTAGGGGATTTGGGGATCTAGTGAATTTGGAGAATTTGAGAATCTAGGAAATTTAGGGATTTGGGAATCTGGGAAATTTGGAGAATTTGAGAATCTAGAAAATTTAGGGATTTGAGAATCTGGGAAATTTGGGAATATGGAGATTTGAAAATCCAGGGATTTGGGAATCTGGGGAATTTTTATATCTGGAGATTTAGGAATCTGAGAATTTGGAAGTCTAAGATTTGGGAAATCTGGAAACTTAGAAATCCGGAAATGTAAAAATTTAGCAATCTGCAAATTTTGATACTTGAATATTTGAAAGTTTGTGTAAGAAGAATGTCTTATTCTTCGTGTACCTTAGATTTTAACTCCGACTTGTAACTAAGCCGCAGCAAAAGTAATGATAATCGTGAAGTAGATTTTGTAAATTGGTTTATCCGTTTAAATTAATAATATCGTCACGGTGTCCCGATCGGATACTCTACCCGGCCAATTATGTGTCCCTATTTTCGCAGTTAGGAGTGATGTACGACACTTGACGCGGGGAAGCGCATAAAACCGGAAGCTACATCAGCGACCCTTCACCCTCGATTCGACGAGTAGTTGCAGCCGTGTAAAGTGGGTTAGAACACGATCGTTCAGGGAGAGAGCTATTCGTTCATTCAGTCTCTCGCGACCAGTAATAGCCTGTATCAGAAATCGTCACTTAAGCGATTTCGCAAATAATCCCATTTGCAGCCTAAACAGCTTTAACGATTCGGAAACCTCCCTGCGGTATGTGCAAGTGATTATGAGAGTCTGAAATAATGTATCGCGTTTTCTTTATTGAGACACGTGTCTGGGAGTACGACCAAAAACTTGTCGGTGTACAGGGTAGTGAGAGTGCTGTTGAAATCCTCCGACAATCAACAACGAGTTAAAAATCGCGAATGATAACATTCATGATTTTTGTCGGATACAATCTAGCTACTTATCAGCTACATCAATGCAGTCGGTGTTATTAAATGTTCGTATGAAGATATATACTTAATTTTTATACCGTGATTAATTGTAACAAATTTTGAAATTTCTATACTTGTACTACATAACTAAATGTCCAAAATAAATCAATTTTTCCTTTTCTTCGATTAATTTTGTTATACCGTGGAACAATTTTTGAAGAGCATTTATAAATAAAACTGATAATGAAATTGCTCATTATACGAATACACGATGTTACGTATATTTTGATAATGTGCTCCCTGATAAATGTTATCTGTGAAGTAATAAATAATTACTTTTGCATTATGTTGTTAGATAATGGTTCAGATAAGTTAAACATTTAAAATGAAAAACAAACTAAAAAGATTTAAATTATCTCTTCTGTTGCGAATGTACTGTGCGTGTCCGGTAAGTTGGCAGATGAACGACTGGGGTTTGTATTGCTTTCAAGCGCCAACTTATCAGACGCGTATAACACACTATCTTATAGTTCTCTACATTTTTTTTCTGACTCTCATTAGTACTGTCAGTGATTTTATCGTCACTTATAAGATTTTATCATTTTTAAAACGGCTGCCTTATCTACCTTTTATCTTAACTTTTATTTCATAGTTATACACACACTATAAAAATTTCAGTTAAACAACTTCCAGATGATAGGAACTCCGGTGTGTACGTAAAGATTTTTAGTCTTTAATCTTGTAAAATTACAGCTTGTAATTTTTTCTTTGTGTTCTCGATATTTAAATGTAACGACGGGAACTCCGTACCTTACCATTATAATGCATACCTGTTAACATTATTTCCATACGCTTATAATGTTTACATTCATTCGTATTAATCGAACAGAAATTGAGCTTAATTAAAACAAAAGTCACGTATCAATACCAACAAGTACAATGAAATAATGCAGATCCTCTATAATTAATTTTCTTAGAACAATAAACATTACATCCAATTAATAATGTATTCGTACCGACGCATTCATCTACATTGAAAATAAGTAAAATTAATTAACCCTGTAGCGTCACTTTGTGTATGTAATTATACAATTGATTTTCTAACAAAGCAATGAAAATTTAATTTGAATTTCTATTCAAGTTCTAAATTATTCTGTACGTGCTCATCGCATATCTACATTTAAAGAAAAATTAAGTGATTAATCTAAAACGTGTCTCACTGCATAGTAGAAAGTATTTTCAGAAAATACAGAAATACTTTGAAACATAATATCCACTATATTAATAGGAATTTTTAAAATGTAACTGTTATTAATAATATTTAACATGACAGCCTAGTTGTATTACCAGTAATTTTGCAAAATATTCGATTTTCAGTATGAATGAATATTTATTTAAACAAATCACACGGATAGAACCTAAATTTGTTTTCAAGGGAAATTGTAAAAAACGCGCCAAAAAGTGTTTCATAAATGGCGCCGGTTGAGTATCGGCGGTAAGTACACCATAAAAGATACCTTGATATAAAATTGATCGCTCTCACGACAATTGAAGCAAATTTTTACAAGAAGCACTTAAATGCTATTTGATGCAATAGGATCAAGTGTCGTTTAATGTAACGACTCTCGAGAAGTACCCAATGAAACTCCGCAATTAGCGTGAAACGGTTATAATCAAGATTTTCAATTCGTTTCCTATCGCAAACGCCGCCAACGTCAGAGCTTGCCATTTTCAAAATTTTCCGCCAATAGTATTATCGTTTACCAGCGTAATAAGATCGAACAATTTTAAACTGTCCATTTGATTTCACTTGTATTACTCCGACTTTTACACGAACATCGAATTATAAGATATAAAAGTTGTAAAATATGATTTGACATTTGTAAATTGTGAAAATATGACACTTATGTAGATAAAATTTCAGTACTAACGATATAAAAAGGGTTACTTACTTTTGGCCACATCCTCCGGTGTGTTTTGCTTCGCAACCGCGATCGTGATATTCTTGCTCTCGAAGAAAGGCTTCGCGCGTTCACAATCGACGAACTCCAAGGCGGTATCGTTTTTTGGGTGTTCGGCGAAACGTGGCGATCGAGACGACACGAGATCAGTACAACCGCATAATAATATCACGATCGACACAGGTGCCAGAATCGCGTGACTATACCTCTGTGTTATTTTCATGTTGGTGAAATGTTCGATTGGTGAAAAGTTAACCGATAACAAAGAGAAAACCGAGAGGAAACGGGCGAAAAGGGCCGGTAAATCGTCTCGAAAGTGAGGGGGAGAAGAAACGAGAAGAAAGGAAAAAAAGTGAAACACCAGCAAGACGAGACGGGACGAGGATTGCTCCTTCTTCGTCGCGTATTCGACACGATCGTTCGAAGAGTCATCAACCGCGGGACGAGACGCGACTTCCCCTTTCCTCTTCGTTCTTCGAATCGGCCGCGCTGTCAAACGACACAGCAACGACGACGACGACGGGTGTTGTTACTGCGAGATCTCGAGAAGCGCGATTCGTGCATTTGGCGTGATCACGATGGACGGAGAGGCGAGACGACGACTATAGTAATCACGACATGCACTATCGAGACCGCGCGACACCGTGTTATAGCCTGCACACATGCACACTCGACCACTTCGGGTACACCACAATAATAGGCACACACATGCACGCACGTTTAACCGCACGCAAGCATGCATGCACGCACAACGCGACGCGCCTTCCACGAGTAGCTCGATGCGACTGAAGAAGTGCTGAGAACGGTACCGCGTATTCACTAATTCGACCGACCGGCGATCTTCCCCACCACGCTTGCTCCTATTCGTTCACTACTCTATATCCTCTATCGCCTAACTCCGAATCTACAACGAACTGCTTGTTTACCCTATCTTGCTTACTTACCTACCCGAACGACTCCTCAATGTTATTTCACGACGTTACGTGTCGCCACTGACCACTGTCCTTTAAAGAATCTCTAATCAGAATCTCGAAATAATCGTATCGATTTTAAGTGGTGCGGCCATTTTTTTAATGAAAGATATACCGCGTAATTTAATTTCTACAGAATGGTACGTTTCAACTACAAGGTAAACAAATTATACCTTGCTTTATGTCTTTTAATTTAATAATATGCTAGTAATACTTCAGTTTCAAGTAATGTATTTTTATATATGGAACACATAAGTACATCTTTCGGCAACATGAAAAATATCACATATAAATAATACATATTTATATATTTTGTGAGGTTTAATTAAAATATATTATTCTTGTACAAATTAAATTTTACGATATAGACTTTATTGAAAAATGGCATCGTTAGTCTAACTTTCTTAACTATTTCAAGATATGATTAGTGTAAGGTCTGTATTTGTACTTGGGCCGTTATTCCATATGAAAAATTAAGATCTATTTATCAAATTATAACGTAAGCATTAATATACGGTTATCACTTTTTCATACATAACATACTTTTTCAATACAAAAAATTGCAACAAAAATATTAAAATAAATAACGAATTTAACCTATTTAGATACATAAATCCATTCAGTTGTTATATAATAGTTTATTAAATAGACTTTAATAAAAATTTATAAACAGTATTATAATCACTTTTTTATATTTTTCTTTAGAAGTGCTTTTCGTTTCTTTTCTAAAGCCTCCATACGCATATCTTCCAAATCTTCCATAATACCTACAAAAATATAATTATGTTTAATCAATTTTGTGAAAAATTAAAAGTATTAAAAAGCAAAACATTACATGTGACACTACGAACATATATAAATAACTTATCAATATTACCTATTTTGGTAGATACATATTCTTCTTTAAGCTGCTGTGCAAAACTGCTTTCCATAGCTACATCATCGTCGTTGTCTACACATTTATACTTATTTTTGTCGTAACCAAATATTTCGCTGATGTATTTACTATAGTCTTCGGTACCATCTTCTACTTCGTCGTCAATAAAATCTTCTAATTCAGAATCATATTCCTCTTCATCTTCATCTTCGTCATGTATGCGACCTAAAAGTTTATTACTAAGTTTACTGAACACAAATGACACTATCTATATATTTTATAACTCGAATTACACTTTTTCACCCAATTTTAACGCAATTAATGTTAATGATGATTAAGATGTAAAATTACTTACGTTTATGGGCAGCTATTGGTCTTCTTTGATCCCTTGAAGGAGGTAACTTAGGCTTAATCGGTTTAAGATCAGCTGGTGGAAATTGTTTTATTTTATCATTCGACATTTGAGGCGTACGACATTTCGTTATATTCGCCGTGGCAGCTTGTTTTGGTATGTTTTTGAGTGAATCTTGTTTCTCTGGAACCTTCACTTTAGAGACTGGCTTTTCAGACTTCGTATTCTTAATATCTTCAATCTTACTTTTACTTAATTTTAACTTTTTCTTTTGTTCTTCAATAGCTTGTCGCATTTCTTCTAATTTTTTTCTTTCCATTTCTAATTTTCTTCGCTCTTCTAATAATATATCCTTCTCCGATTTTGATACTGCGTTAGATTTATTTACATTAGGTTTATTTTGAACAGGCTTTTCGATAGATTTTTGAACAGATTTCTCAATGGGTTTTTGAACAGGTTTCTCGACAACCTTTTTAATAGATGATTGTGCTGCTGTTGTCGGTTTTAAAGAAGTTTTGCTCAAAGTCGAAGATGTTGCAGATAGCTTTTCAGATACTTTAGACGTTTTGTTTGTGTCATTTACCTGCGATTCCTGTGTTTTACTAGATTTATTAGGTACAGTCGAAATACTATCTTTACTGTTCGTACTATTAACTTTATTCCGCTGCTCCTTTCGTTCTCGCCATTCTTTTTCTTTTGCATATTCTTTCATTTGCTTTTTCGTTAATAGCCTTTCTGGTTCTTCATTTTTCGGCTTTACCTCAATTACAATTGGTTCATGCTGTTTTTTTTCTGCAATTTTTAATAATTCGCTGAAATCAATTGGCGGTGGCATAGGTTTCTTTTTGGGTTTGGGTTTCTCCTCTTTTTCTTTCTTATCCTCGCTGTCATCTTTTTCAATTTTCGTATCTGTTTCTACTTCTGTCTCTTTCGTAGACAATTTTCTTTTTCGACGATGTCCTAATGCTTCCTCTACTTCTTGTTGTTTTAAAGCTTGTTTAACCCTGTCCTAAAATCAAAATTCAAATAACAGAATGAATTTCAATTTAGTCGCTTATTACTGAAAATATGTACTTTTGTCGATGCAATATCCTTTATTGTCCGTTTCCGATTATCTTTAGAAAATATGTTGTTGGATGGTGCACTATTATATTTATTCATTAACTGATTATAAAATGCGGAGGCCTCCTGTGAAACGTAGCCATAATCATCTTCATCAGGTTGAGATGGACCTATAAACAGATAAAAAAATATTTTGAGTACTTAAAATTTAATAATTTTGTCCATATTATTTTTCAAATTCCATTTTATTCTTTTATTTTTGTCAATATTTCCAACAGTATGAAATATAAGATCATCTTTTTTCTTTTATTTAGTAAAAAAAGAAGATTATTTTTATGTAAAAGTCTTAATATCTAAATATAAAATATACTTTTAAATATACGGGTTTTAAAGCTGTAACATATTCCGAAAAATAAAAATTACAGATATATGCAATTTTAATGACATATATTAAAATGTTCAGGGAAGATGTATAACTTGATCTTCGTAATTATAGTTTCCTTAAATTATACTAAATATTAATAGTTTACACGTAGAATACACATATTCTACTACATTCAATCCATAATATTATTCTCTATAGTTATATTATAGTTATCATTAATGGTTTCGTGAAATAAAAAGATTTTGTTTCTTTTTTAATGGTACTGATTTTCTTCGTAGCTTCTTAACCCTTTCCCTTTGCCTTTCTTTTTTACATTAATTTTAAAAAATCGAAATCAGCGAAAAATTACCATTCACAAATTCATATGCATGAATTGCATATATGCAAATTTATATACATGTTAAATGGTGATATCGCATATTTAAACAATTTTATTAAGATATACGAGAATCAAATTCATCTCTTTTAATGGAACTATAGCGCCTTCCAAGATGAATTGAGTACTCAATCATATATATACGCTTTAATAATTAATTTTCAGAGTATTGTGTTTAAAAATGTATATACTGATTTGCAGCAAAATAAAACTCCTGCAACTGCAAGTACTAATAGCAGTGAACTTTTGAGTCTTTTGTCATATGTGTTTTGGGAGGCAGTATTCAATGTAACTATAACAGCTCACATATGAACAAAACCACGTTTTGCATATAAGTAATTTAACAATAAAATAACCCTATAACTTTATAAACAACAAATTAATTACGATTAATATTAAATGAGATAAGTAAGTCTTAGTTTATAATTAGAATCACAATTAGATTTATTTGAATGATACTACCAGTTCTGACTTTATGTAATAAACATAAGAGACATTTTGATTAATAAAAATAATCAATCTAGAGTCTGTCCTCTAGACTACTCTAGAATTATATTTAGTCTGACCTTAATTGCTTGGAATCCTCTGCCATGTAAATCCACAAAATCCCACTGCCCTGTTGGACGGTGGATAAGTAAGAAGGCATTGCGCTGATTGTACATATTCATACTCAATTACCTGCGGGCAAAAACACTGCCCATTATGGATAGAGACTGGTACTTCTAAATACTCATTAATACGAAGATCATTGATCACACACAGCTTTGTATTAATTTCTTCAGAGATTACAACCTATATCCAGTTTGGTTGTAGTTAAAGACTAAATTTATAATCTGTGCAAATATACTGCTATGTTATAGCAATAATTGTATTAAAGAAACATACTGAAAACCAAATTCTTATATACAACTAATGTATTTACATCTCCAACTGTAATAAGTTTTATTAATTGACATAAATTAAAATCAGACATAACAAATAAAAATTTGCAAAATCTGATACTTAATTTTTACCTGTAAAACAAATACTGCTTACTATAGTTACAATTAAACTATGACTTATGATACTATCAGGTTGAGTCATAAATATCCTCCATTGAAAGTAAACATAGCTTATCCTCTTAGAAAAACCTATATGGCTTATTAAAGGTAATATTTTTTGCACTTCTATAGAAACTCATTTTCTAGCTGGTAGTCAGAACTACACATTTTAAGCACAATATTAAATTAAGAAAATTGGAAAACAAAAAGATGCACACTCATTACTTTTGCTCTGGGAGTTGAAATAAGTGAATAATGATATGATAACAAATTACACAATTTGATTCAGGAAATTTGAAAAATGGATTTGAGAAATGAACTAATACCAGGTCATGTACTGGACTTCAAAGAAGAGTGGATCAAAATCCACTGCAAAAAGAAAGAAAATTAGCAGACAAGCTATACACATTCTAATCTACTGTTTGCCATTATTTGAAAAAACTTAGAAAAATCAGTAAGTTGGGAATACGTGTTCCATGGTAAGAGAAATACATAAAACAGACTGCATGACACAACTTACACAACAAAAACTTTTGGAGCTTGGTTGTTCAAGTTTTGTCACACCCACCATATACATCGGACGTCTCTCTTATTGACTATCACCTTTTCCGAGCTGTAGGAAATAAATTGAATAGAAAAAGATTTGCAAATGATGAACAAATAAATGATGAACAGCAGTTTGTTGATAATTATTTTTATCAAAACCCACAAATTTGTATGCACAAAGAATTAAGAAAGTTTCAGATAAGTAGAAAAAGTTTGTCAACAGCAAGGGGGAATATACGAGGTATGTCATATAACTGGGACAAGCTATATCTCCAATTTAATAAGGGATGAACACAAATTGTTAAAAGAAAAGTTTTTGAATTCTTAGTAAATTCAAGATATATATAACTTGCCCCAATTGCATGGTGTGCCCTGTATAATGTATTAAATATAAGCATTAAAGTATATTAAATATAAAGGACAAAAATGAAGATTATTTATGACTCAACCTAATATATTTCGAAACAATAAAATTTAGTTAGGGATATTGTTGAAAGTTAATATGTATGTGTTTGAATGAATAAACAATAATTGACATCTCAAAATTTCAAACATTTACACACATTTATAAATTTTGTTTTGATAATTGTTTTCAAGGATGAACCTTATGTTAATGAAATCAATAGTAATTAAACCTTGCGTTTCAATTTTAATTAATATTAGTACATGTCTTAAATATAATGAAGAAAATATTATTTCACTTATATAATACTATTTCATACCTGCCAGTGTAACAGCTGTATTCTCATTGTCAATTGCATCTGCCAATACAGATTTATTTGCTGCTTTACACACTTTCAAATGTTTATTTATCCGACTTTGTGCTTTATGATCACGTAATGCTAACAGATTCTAAAAATAAGAAAAGAAATAACAATAAAAAATGCTACATTCACGTACAGAATAAGCGTTTATAAGTCCATTATAGTCCATTGGAAATATACCTCTCTTTTTCTCTTTTCTTCTAAAGCCTTTTGTCTTTCTTCCTCTCCCTTGCGTGCTAGAAACTTCTTTATATTTTCCGAAAGTGCTTTAGCCTGTTTGTTTGGCTTTTTAGGTGGAGCAAATTTTGTTTGATAGCAAGCAATCGGCTATAAAAAGAATTAAATAATTCAATTGCACTGTTATAGATATAAAGAATATGTTAGGGAAGAAATACAACAACCTGCTTGCTATTTTCATTTTTCTGCGCTACGCTCAACAATGTACCAAAATCCATTCTTATGGCAGGATAAAAAATATACCAAACGCAAATTACGACGTATCTTTCAGTTTCACTCCTTGAGCATGCATTTTATTATCTAATCTCAAATCTCAACTATTTGAACACATAATTTTTATTATATATTGACGCCTTCAACACTATATTTATAATATTATGAATTATTCATATAAATGCTTTTGAATACTTGTTAAAAATACATATGCCTATCGAACGAACAAGAAGTGTACAGACAGGTAAAGATAAACTGAATGTTTATGGAATAAAGTAAAACCTGCAAAATTATATCACTTTCTTCCAACAGATGGCATGTAAGTAGTTCTATAATACAGTGACGGACATAAGTATACGAATTCCCTGACGCTTGGCTTAGTCAGGTACGAGGACCAAAATAATTTTGCCGCCCTTATAATATGAGCTGGCTTAGTAAATTTTTTAATATTTAAATTTCTACATTTGCAAATGTCGAAAATTCATTTTATCATGTTTTGTATAAAGCATTAAACGGTACTGATTTATGAACGCACTCGATAATTCAACAGAAATATTAATTCAAGTAAAAGTTTGACAAATGCCGTAAACTAAATATAACGCATTATTTAATTATAAAAACAAATATATATGTACATATAAAATATAAATTTGTTTCATCATCGATAGAATTAATCGGAAAATGATACATTACATTTGCTTTGCGCAACTAGGCTGATTTCAGTAGACTCCCACTATCTAACGTTGCTCCATTACCATACGATTTTTACTTCTTCAATCATATACATGGAAGACAAAAATATGTGAGCAGAGAGAATAGATTATGTGAACCGCAAAATAAAGAATATACAAAGTATAAGATCACTAGGTATATACACTCAATGGCAGGGATGGTGTAACTGCACATGCGTGTTATTCCTGGTTACACTGTTGAAATGTGCAGAACGAACAAAAACTCATCATCTGATGAGTACATTCTTTCATGAAACGAGTATTTTAATGTTCCTAAATGCATCATATATGCAACGTAAAACAATAGTATTACTTATATTACAATCTCTCTGTTCCATGAGCGCTTGCACTAACTATACACAATGATTTGCACTACCCTAATCAGTGTTGGGCAGCAGTGTTGGGCAGTCGTGAGATTTTATCTCAGACGAGAGCTTTATGCGCATGCGTCAGCTGACGTCACAGCTTGCTGCCAATGCCGTACCTAGCCAGTACACGCAGTGGTGACTGAAGAGGGCACCCCTTAATGATCCTACATAATTTTTCAAAAATTCTTATAATTGCACTGTAAACTATGAATGTATAGGTTGGGTTAGATTACATTAGGCTGGGTTAGGTTAGTTATATATATGACTGTATAAAACTATACAACTATATATATATATATATATATCGTGAATTATATAATATAATATAATGGGAATAATATGATGGAATATGGGAGATTATTATATTTAAAATAACACAAAAGCACAATAATTTTTAAAACACTAAATGAATTTATTATTTAAGAAAAACATTTTGGAAGGACCTCTTTGGATAACTATATTTTATACGTGTGAAAATTATAATATCAGAGAAACAATAACAAAGAAATACATGGATTTTATTTTGTTAACATACATAGATCTGATAAAAATCGTGCGGTATATTTTCCTTTGCTCTTGCAACAAATATTGGTATTCATATAACAAATCGGCTGCAAACGTAGAAAATAATAATAATCATAAATAAATTTAATATTACTTTTACTATATATAATCTGTTGTATTATTTGCCCCTTTTATTCTCTTTCCTGCAATTTTCTTCAGATTTATTTTTTTTTCTCACTAGGGCCTAATGATACCTTATATTTCATCAAAGTGTATACGCTATTGAGGACTTCTACGGATAGCTTACTGCGCATGCACTGGGAC